TATCAGATACTGCAAGCCTGTAAGTTGCATTAGATGGGGCGCGATAAGTGATTCCTGTCCACGAGCGGTAGTGAAGTGTTGCGACGGTGAAGAATTTCCAGCGGACTATGTAGTCGTCACTGTCTCTCTTGGAGTTTTGAAGCACCAGCACGACAAGCTGTTCTGTCCAGCATTGCCCGCGGAGAAAGTCGAAGCGATTTGCAAATTAGGATACGGATATGTTAATAAAGTATTTTTAGAATACGCGAGACCGTTTTGGGTGTGGAAGGAGGGAGGCATTAAATTGGCTTGGTCGGCCGACGAACTTGCCGATAGATGCGACTGGGTGAAAGGTAAAACGAGATTTTTAACATATTAGGAATAAATTCGTGATATGCGAGGGTACAAAAAATATTTGTATTATAATTAGACTGTGGATTTTGTGCATTTATGATAAAATCGAATATGTAAGAAATACGTAAAGTGGACAAAAGTGCATAAAGTATCAATAGCAGAATGCATAGCATGCTTAAAGGATTAAAGGATTCCTAATGAATATCATTGGTTAAATTGATATCCCACAAGTTTTATTTCGCATGAAAATTTGCAATCTGATTATAATATAAAACGAATATTATTTATAATGATCAACTCTGTTTATGATGTGTTTTAGGGATTGCAAATGTAGAAGAGCTGTCCACTTCTCAGCACGTTCTGTGTGCGTGGATATGCGGCCGCGAGGCCGCTGACATGGAATTGTGCTCCGACGAAGAGATCGTCGAGTCGATAACAAGAGTTCTTCGACAATTCACCGGCGATCCCACGCTTCCCTATCCGGCGAATCTTCTCAGGAGCAAGTGGTGCATGGATCAATACTTCGCTGGTGCATACAGCTACATGGCAATGGACAGTACCGTCGGTCACCAATGCGACTTAGCTAGCCCTTTGCCAGGTACAATAAAAGATCCGACATAAGAATAGTACTGTTGGTGGAATGAGTATAGTGAGGTCGTAAAGTTCGCCATGGAAATTAGTAACCGATACCGGACATGAAATCTTTACCAATTATGAAAACGCTTTTTACTGAAAGATAGTAAAATTTCTCTGAAATTCCCGGCTGTGAGAACTTAAGGGCCCTGACACGAATTTTCAAATTTATTATATATCTTATTATTATTAAATATAAAATAACTAGCATTTTTTTTTTTGTTTAACGAAAATCTTCATTTAGCACATGTTTTTTTTTTGTATCAGGCACGTGCGAGCCTATACCACCGATTCTGCTGTTCGCCGGCGAGGCTACAATCCCGGGACACTACAGTACAGTTCACGGCGCCAGATTGAGCGGAATTCGCGAGGCTGAGAGGATAATTCAATTGACAAAACGTTTCGGCGGCCCGCCAAAGAAGACGACTGAGAAGAGTTGAGTCTATATATTATTTCGTGCAATTATAGAAAATGTAGACGTTTCTGTCTCTGTCCAAAAACGCGCGAATTTTGTTCGATTTAAATGAAATTATTATCTTTGAAACGTGATTAACATCGATCACCTCATATTTGTTAAACATGAAGCGATGAGAAGTCTTGAATATTTTTGTAGGAAACTGTACACTTGATAATCATATTTATTCGATTGTTTTAAATCGGAACCGTTCCTGTATCTTTGCACAAGTTGTCAATCTTCTTAAATAAATACGTTAACATACCTTTAAGTCCGATAATTTATTTCGTCTGCGTCTTTGAAACAAAGTTCAATATTTAATAGGGATTAACTCGTTTAGGTTTAACGTTCATACTTTATTGCGCTGACATTGCTATAATGACGATGTTTCGTTAGATAATTTCAACACTGATACACATTTATTTATGACGGATCGTTGGCCTTGAAACGAGGAGGAAATAAATCTGGTTCAATATCAACGACGATTTATATGTACATACGGTTACATTTCATTATATTACTTCCCGCTGGTCCCACTTAACAGCAATCTGTTATTTATTTTTTGTATCAGGCACGTGCGAGCCTATACCACCGATTCTGCTGTTCGCCGGCGAGGCTACAATCCCGGGACACTACAGTACAGTTCACGGCGCCAGATTGAGCGGAATTCGCGAGGCTGAGAGGATAATTCAATTGACAAAACGTTTCGGCGGCCCGCCAAAGAAGACGACTGAGAAGAGTTGAGTCTATATATTATTTCGTGCAATTATAGAAAATGTAGACGTTTCTGTCTCTGTCCAAAAACGCGCGAATTTTGTTCGATTTAAATGAAATTATTATCTTTGAAACGTGATTAACATCGATCACCTCATATTTGTTAAACATGAAGCGATGAGAAGTCTTGAATATTTTTGTAGGAAACTGTACACTTGATAATCATATTTATTCGATTGTTTTAAATCGGAACCGTTCCTGTATCTTTGCACAAGTTGTCAATCTTCTTAAATAAATACGTTAACATACCTTTAAGTCCGATAATTTATTTCGTCTGCGTCTTTGAAACAAAGTTCAATATTTAATAGGGATTAACTCGTTTAGGTTTAACGTTCATACTTTATTGCGCTGACATTGCTATAATGACGATGTTTCGTTAGATAATTTCAACACTGATACACATTTATTTATGACGGATCGTTGGCCTTGAAACGAGGAGGAAATAAATCTGGTTCAATATCAACGACGATTTATATGTACATACGGTTACATTTCATTATATTACTTCCCGCTGGTCCCACTTAACAGCAATCTGTTATTTTATCGAGGAAACGTTCTTATCAAACAATTAACAACGATAACGTCCAATTAAATTTGCTCTTTACGTATTTATCCATTCGTTTTTAATATCTATTTAAATATAGATTTATTAGCAGAAACTAGATTAACTTCTTTCTGTTATATAATTTTCATTATGTACAAGTATAGAATCTCTGTGCTCTGAGTCATAACCAGTGTATCTTTTTAATTGTCTGTCCGGTTTGAAACTATTTTTAAGAACGTTTGCTCGTTTGATAGACCAAACTGTGTAAAGTAATTCTAGATCTATTTATTGTCCCAGTTGCAGCACTACTTTACGTTAAAAATGCCATAATCGCACTCGACATTGTTTATCTAACAAATAAAGATACTTGAGCAGCATGAAGTATCACACATTCTTACATATTGCAATTGATTTTACATTTTCCTACTTGGGAATGAACATTTTTATATCTTTCACACTGTCTACAAATCTCGTTTACAACGACACACGTATATATGAATAACAGTATTATAACACGAGCACGATCATGGCAATCAAATGTAGATAATATTTAGAGGAACGTCGATCATGTGCATAGAAGAGGAAGGAAAGGATATGTTACATAAATATCCTTGTATCCTTATAACTATCGTATGTATAACTTATTTACAACATAAGTACATTACATACAACTGCGTGGTTAGTATACATGACACGACGCATAAATATAGATCATATTTCTCTTAAGATATATATATAACAGTTATTTTAAAACAATAATTTAATAAAACATAGTCAAACAAACTTAGCGTACAATACTTATAATTTTAATACATCGTAATCTGAGAAACACAGGATTCTCTTTCTAAACAAACAGTTTTTTTATGTATCCTATGAATGCTTTATACATCTTGGGACACGTTTTGTGAATACTTCGCACAATTATTCGACGTATACCTACTTGAGATCCCTGCTACATAACTAAAGTACAATTAAGATTTATTATCAAGTAAAAGAAATATTCCCTACATTCTGATGTTTTCGTATATATTGATTATCTACCTCGCTACGATCTTCACAAAATATTTAAGAGATTCATGATTATTTTTGTATAATCTGCTACCAGCAATGAAATATTAATAATTTGTGAAAATTAAAGTAATGATTGTTGTCATTATCCTTCCTGTAAAGGAGTGTTGAATACAGGAAAACGAACAATACTCTCTTTATAATCACATTTAACGTTCCTTGCGATGAAACACATTGCTTAAAACACGATTGATTTCAACATGTCTCATACTGCATTGCATGACAACTAGAATCTATCCATTAACACCACAAATATTCAACGTACATATATACTCTATAGCATCGTGATATAATAATAATAATAATACCAATACCGTACTACAGTTTCACAAATCGTCAGCTGAGTGAGAGTACTTCCGTCGATCTTTTCCTATCAAGTATTATTTTCTAATTTTTGTTAACTTAATTATTAATTAAATATTTGATAGGTTTTTAATAAATCCTTTGCCTCCGATATTTTATTTGAAATTTTTTACGTATTTCGTATTGTGATAAAGATGGACGAAGTACTCGCTCACAGCTGATGTATTCGCAACACGTGCCTACAACAATTCTGCAACGCCGTTGCAAAGGTACACCTGTGCACGGTGTGCGTCCGGCCACTCCCGGTGATCGAAGAAAGCGATCTAAACGAGGCCTACCTACGGAATGTTAGCTACGCGCTGGAAAAGTGGCACAAGGCGACACATAATACTGCGTTTACGGAGAATAAAATTATGTGTTCGTTAGCGAGAAACGGTAATCGAGAGATCTTTGGTTTACACAGAATTCATTCAAGGTATTTCTAAACACCAGTAACGGTTAAAATAATTTTTAGGGACGTCTACCTAAATTATTTTGAAATTCTGAGCATCACAGAATATCAACAGGTCTCCCGTTGTGTTAAGAAAATAGTTTGAACTGACAAAATTCAAAATGAAATTTACCCGTTTCATTTTAATATTTAATTTTTTAATTTAATTATTTAGTTAATTATTTGACAGTATCGATTATGAAATACGTCTCGGATTTTTCAAATTCATTAAAGAAAACCAGACAACTAGAAATTAAGATTGATTACAAGTTGCAGGCGCTAGAGATCTACAACCACGAGCTATTTGAGCGCGCCATCACTTAGAAACCGACTGCTCCTCGAAAATCTCATCCGCTCTAAGTTTTATCTCTTTCCACGAGTTTTGAATATCTTTACTCTCGCTGAACCGCGAGCAAATCGCGAATCGCAGGAAGTACACGTCGTTTATCTTCGAGGGGACCAAATGAATGATACCGGCTCCATTGATTTTCTTTAATAGTGCCTCGTTTATGTCGTTCGATCCCTGCGAAAAATTGCATTCATTGTTGTTATACTATCTTTAAATTTCGAATTTCATTATATATTTTTTTATTCGTTTTACGTAACCTTTAAAAAGAATAGTTTGTAATTAAATTATCTGTTTCTAATGTTGATTCGAGGAAACTGTCAAAATGATTCATTTACGATGTTATGTTCATAAAAATACGAGAAAGTATTGTTGAAGATATTCTTACCTTTAATCGGAAACAAATGAGCCCCAATATAACTTCTGCTACAATTTCGAACCGCGAATCTGACTGGACCAACGCTTCGAATTCATGAGCCTGAGAGACGTGATTCCTAATAAACCGTTGGAGATTCTCGACGCCATAAATCCTCAACACAAACCAAAGTTTCAATGCCCTGAACCTCCTGCCCAGTGGAATTTGCCAATGCTATCGAAAAACATAAGACACTTTTTAGTAAATCAAATCATACTCCAGTTTTAATTAATTTTTCATCATCTCGTAAATCGAATCGAATTGTATAAAAAGTTAGGACTAATAATTCGTACGAATAATAATCAAGATAATTTACCCTATAATCAGGAACAGAACCTTGCATGTCGTGTTTCAAATATAATGGATCAACGTTGAATGCATTGATCACGTATGTCGGGTCTTTCAGCCACATCGTCGAGCAATCGAACGTTACCAACATCCACTTGTGCGGATTAAAGTTGAACGAGTCTGCTAATTCAATGCCCTTCATTAAGTATCGGAACTCCGGGCAGATGAAGGCAGAGCCTGACGAAAGAAGCAGTTAACGTAATTCTAATAAGAAGCGAAGAAGCTAATTATCGGAATTTTTTAATTTACCAGCGTAAGCCGCGTCAACGTGCAACCACACGTTCTCGCGATTGGCAACGACGCCCATTTCGTCGAGGCGATCGAATGCACAGGAGCAAGTGGTTCCTAAAGTTGCAACAGCCTGTAAAAATTTTAACACGTATAAATAATGTTTATTTCAGTTTTGTGTGAATGTAAATACGAATCTTACGTAGAAAGGGATTAATCCTTGTTCTTTATCCTTCCGAATGGCCTCGGCCAGTGTCTCACCGCGAAGCTTGTACTTCGAGTCGACGTCCAGCAGACGGAATTTCACACCTCCAAGAAGTCCAGCTCGTTCTACGGAACTATGAGCCTGACCTAAATGACAAATCGGCCATGAAATATATTCACCCCATTCACTGTTATTTTCTTTCCATAAGCCACAATTGGAGGACAACATTTACCACCGCCTTTACATTTCAAATATAAAGGAAAATTCAGTATTTGTTATACTGCGCCCATTGTTTATGTCAATCTAACAGAATCCTTTTTACGTCACAGCGACAATCAGTGGAAGTGATCGTTCGTGAAATAATAAAAATTCTGAGTGGCGAACAATCGTGATCCCTCGGGACACTGCGTTTTTTTTATTTCTTTTTACGTTCGAGTATTGGGAATGGGAAATTCTGAAACGCTTTTTCATCGGAAACTTTTCGCGTTTCGACGTGCCGGCGAAGAGTAGCGGTAACAGGAGCGCAGATCGTTCGAGGGGGTGGGTTACCGGTCGGGGTAGCACGGGTTCGGAATAACTCGAGTGGTTATTACGCGTTGCCATGGTGACAAAGTGCTGGCTGATGAAGTGGCGCAACCCCATACTCGGCCTGTCAACCCACCCCCGAGCCTCGCACGCCTTTGTCAAACGTTAAATAGCACCAGCCAACGTCGACGTTAATCTTGTTTAACGCAAAATCACGGCTCCGAGTCTTTATACACCTAATTGTCGATTCGTGTCCCAATATTATTTTTGGGATATTCAAATTAATGTTCGTGCACTAAAAACGTATCGATCTGCATTCCATACTGAATTTTCCGATCA